AACTGCTATGATTTTATATCATTTCCCACAGAGTATCTTTTTTGCCATCATTGTTATCCAAATGATGCACGCATTATAAAGCAAAAGATTCATCAGGTTTCAGTTTTGCAGATTCAAGGAAGTACTCGCCTGATGTTACTACAATAATAACATAATGAATTCTAAAGTTTATTTCAGTAGTTGAATATTACACTTTAAAAGCTCTTTAAGTTAGAGTTAGTCCTATTTATAAGCTCACTGTGGTTTCAAAAGGCCATCTAAATTTTCCACTTACTTTTCTGTCACAAGGAAAATTATATATCATAATTCAGTGACTTTTAAATTTTTTTCACCATGATACCCCGTAAGATATACATCATATATAAGTATGTAATAAGTAAAAGTTCAAACAAAGTTATCTTTATCATGAGAAGTTATGCGACATCTCCTATCTTATCTCACTTTTTGGTAGTTTGAAAAACACAGTAGCAACAATAATCAACAGGTTTCATCGTTAGTGCTAAATGTGGCTAATAGGTAATGGCTTCCTAGAATGTTATGCTGAGGATTACGAGACATGTGAATTCAAAAAAGTTAACACTTGCCATGGTGCTAAGAGAAGCAACAATGCCAGGATATGATACCATAATTACATGACTAAAAGTCTCTCTTCACATTAAATCCTGTGCTTCTTCAGGACAGTCTATTATTAATAGGAAGACACAAGAGAGGCAGTCACCTGTTTATGAAACAGCAGATCTATTTAATGTGGATCCTACCTATTCTGTATCAGGTAGGTGATCAGAATTAATCTTCCCATAAGGGGCTATCTACTTGAAAATACTTATTTCCACCTCAGAATAACTGAGACTTGCAGGGACAGAAAAAGTAATTTCAGGTAGCTGGAAAAGCTAATGCAGAGGCAGCAGTAATGTGCTAGAAAAAAGATGTCATTTTAGACTCATAGTTTAGTTAAATGAACACGTAAGAAAAATTAGAAAAATCTAACAAAAACTGACTTTGAATTTCAAAGATTTATTCAACCTCAAACTAAATACTACTCTCCCCTGTACTACAGATTTTCCAACTATAAAACACCGTTAGAATTATCTGCAACTTGGGGTGCCTGGGTGGCTCAGTGGGTTAAAGCCTTTGCCTTCAGCTTGGGTCATGGTCCCAGGGTCTCTGCTCCATGGTCCAGGGTCTCTCCTCAGCAGACTCTCTGCTCAGCGGGGAGACTGCTTCCCTTCCTCTCTCTCTGCCTGCCTCTTTGCCTACTGATGATCTCTGTCAAATAAATAAATAAAATCTTTAAAATATATATATATATATATGAAAGAATTATCTGCAACTTGATAATACTTTGTATGAAACAAATAGTTAAGTGAAAACCATAAATCCCCAAAATGTTCATCAATTCAGCAATTAAATATAAACTTACTTTCAAATATGACATAAGTCAAGAGAGGCCAATGTGTGTTACTGAAAATCAGGCATTTGACTTTAAGTCAACTGTTCTCAAAAAAGGGTAAAAGGGCATGTCACTACCACCTAGATAGCTTTTCCAAACTACACTGTCATTCTACCCTCCAATTCTGGTCCCTCCTCTTGATGTGGGCAAGCAAACAGGCACGAGAATGGAGGGGTTAGGGATAAAAACATTTCTTTCATGAGATTATTAAACAGTTGTTTCCCTCCAACCTACCACATTTACAAGCCACTAGGCTAGGAGGGCCTGGCTGGCTCAGTTGGTGGAGCACTCGACTCACGATCTTGGGGTTGTAAAAATCAAGCCTGCATTCGGTGTAGAGATTACCTAAAAATAAAATCTTTTGCGGCACCTGGGTTACTCTGTCAGTTAAGCATCTGCCCTTGGCTCAGGACTCCCATGGGGGCTCTCTGCTCAGCAAGGAGCCTGCTTCTCCCTCTCCCTCTGTCCCTCCCCTGCTTCTGCTCTCTGTCAAATGAATAAATAAAATCCTTAAAAAAAAAAAAAAAAAAAGGACCACTAGGCTAAATACATGTGCTTATAAATTTTCTAATTTCATACAAATAAAGCACTAAGTTGAGAACTGGGAGATCTGAATTCTCATTTTCCCCAATATCTGTCCAATCTGAAACAAAGTTACTTCTTTGTGCCTCAATGGGAATGTATTACATCAAAACTAGAAGTTATAAATAACTTCCTGGAATTGTTCTTAAGGATAAAATCTTTAAAATGTGATGAATAAGGAATTATGATAAGGAATTATCATGATAATTCCTTTACCTTCACTTAGGTATAAAAGCATAAAGTAATCTGTCCACTGTGTGACCCTGAAGTGTACAAGACAAGACCAACCACCCAGAGCCAATTAGAAATAAACGAAGAAGAGTGGGGAGCCTGGGTGGCTCAGTCGTCAAGCATCTGCCCTCAGCTCAGGTCATGATCCCAAGGTCCTGGGATTGAGCTCCATCCACATCAGGCTCCCTGCTCCTCGGGAAGCCTGCTTCTTCCTCTGCTTATATGCCCTCTCTCGATGTCTCTCTCTCTCTGTCAAATAAATAAAATCTTTAAAAAAAAAAAAAAAGAAAGAAAGAAAGAAATGAAAAGGATTCCTTGGGCCTTGACTAATCCCTATATTCAACCCCAAAAGCTTGGCCAAAGCAAATCTAGCTTGAGAATTGGGAAAACAGATTCCCATTAATGAATTCTTCTGAATATTCAACCTCACCAGAAAAAGAAATTATGGACTAATGAGATTTTTAGAAAGTGAAACATTCACAATTTTTAACTGAAGACTTTCACTGGGCATTTCCAGGTTAGGAATTGGGACAGTACACTGCAATTGTTAAAAATTACTCTACGGCCATACCACCCTGAACGCACCCGATCTCTTCTGAAATTGTTAAAAATTAGGTGACAGACAAAAATTTTAATAATCTTACCACCACCACCAGCCCCTCCTCAGAGAGGGAAAAAAATCAGTTTCAGCAGCTTATATGACTCTACGGCTTCCCAATTTCCTACAAAATGGCCAATAGTAATGCAACTCATATGGTTCCTGGCAGACAGTGTGTGCCAAATAAGTATCTGTTGAATGAATGATTGATTCCCTTATTTCTCACATCTTCTACACCATTTCAGTACACCTGTATGAATGCTGGCATATTTGTTTTCTTTTAGCCTATTAAAAATTAAAATGCAGGGCACCTGGGTGCCTCAGTGGGTTAAGCCTCTGTCTTCGGCTCAGGTCATGATCCCAGGGTCCTGGGATTGAGCCCCCCCCCAGCATCAGGCTCTCTGCACAGCAGGGAGCCTGCTTTCCCCCTCCCCCTCTACCTGCCTTTCTGCCTGCTTGTGATTTCTCTCTCTGTCAAATAAATAAATAAAATCTTTTTTAAAAATAAATAAATAGGGGTGCCTGGGTGGCTCAGTGGGTTAAAGCCTCTGCCTTAGGCTCAGGTCATGATCCCAGGGTCCTGGGATCGAGCCCCGCATCGGGCTCTCTGCTCAGTGCAGAGCCTGCTTCTCTCTCTCTCTCTCTCTGCCTGCCTCTCTGCCTACTTGTGTTCTCTGTCAAATAAATAAATAAAATCTTTAAAAAAAAAATTAAATAAATAAATAAATAAAAATTAAAATGCAAATGGTGGCTAAAAAGACAAATTCTAAAAACTCTCATTTTGTTTCATCAGCTTCTCCTTCATCATATGGTACTGTAGTGGGTATGAGCACCAACAACTCTTAGACCCACCCATAAGCTGGTTAAATTATTTATAAATAACAAACACAATTATAGCCAAGTTTCAATGCAAAATTAATTAACTGAGTCCAGAATAATGTAAGACCAAAGCAAAAATATGAACAAAGGTATTTTTACTGCAAGAACTAGAAACTCCTATAGTGCCAGCTTCTAGCCCTATCTTAATGATGCCAAGTCACATCGTCTTCAACACTGAAGTAAATCAACTTCCCCTATAATGACAGTGCAGACCAACTTCCTACTAATATCCTATCAACCATTTCCTCTACAGGAAAAGCAAAAAACCCTACCAGTTCTCACTTAGCTAAAAAGCAATTCCTTTCTCATAATCCTACCATTTGGATTGGGTTCTGGATACAAAAACAAAAAAAAAAAAAAATTAAAAATCCCAAAACACTTTCAGCAAAACAATCAACTCCATCTTTCCCTTAATATGGATAACCCATCCATGCCAAACACCAGAACTGAATACTACTGTGTATCACTGAAGATGCCAACTAGGATGACAAAATGTCTAATATCTGGGCGTTTCTCAAATCAGAAGTTCCAGTGCACTATAGACTGTTACACAAATGTCAGTTACATCTGAGACATGGATAATGTTTTAATAAATGTGGTTCCCTCTTTCAAGGCATTCAAGGACAAGTGGAATATTTTGTAAACAGACTTTATGGCTACAGTAGCCTCAACAGCAGATTTAAAAGTGGCCTACCCTTTGAAGAGGGAGGATAGTTACACACACACACACACACACGCGCGCGCGCGAGGGGATACAGACATGAAATACTACTTCTCCTTAAAGTATCCATTCCCACATCTAGAGCACCACCTACCCATACTTTCAACAAGCAAATTATGACCAACTCCATCCCTCAGCATCCCAGGAAGCTTAATCCTCTCCTTGTATCCTTTTACAAGTTTAATTCACTTCAACAAGCAATCCGGACCGAGAGGGTGCCTAATTCACCACCCAGAAAATTCAAGAGCCAACTTTCTCCTTTTATGCACAACCACTTATCGGATCTTCTTTCTCGCCCCCCTCTTAATTACTCCCTCAACTCCCCTTCCTCGCCACCAGCACGGACCTCTTTGGTACCCCCCACCACCCTTGCCTCGGGACTCCAACATTCCCCCATTCTCACCCCATCAACCACCAGCCTGAAGGTCTGCAGACACCGCCACCGCACCAACCAGACCACCCTCTCACCGGACCCCACCAGCCCAAACACGGCAAACTCCTCATTCAGGGAAGGGGAGGGCGATGCTCTTCAAACTCACCACACGAAGTCGTTGCTTTTGTCCTCGTAGGAATTGATGAGCCCGTTGCACAGGGGGGCGAGCAGAGGTCTCTTCCTGCTGCCGCTGCCGAGGCTGGAGCTGCTCCCTCCCACGCCGGCGCTGGGCCTGGCCGCGCAGCTGAGCCGAGACAGGCCCGCGGACACCGCCCCGCCGCCGCTGCCGGACACAGCGGCCGCCACCAGCACAGGCCGCGCCGGGCCCCCGAGGCCGCCCGAACCCGCGGCCTGGGCCGCTCCGCCGGACGCCGCCGCTGCCACCGCCGCGGAAGGGGGCGACGGGGAAGAGGACAAGGACGAGGAGGCGGAAGTCACCGAGGAGGCCGCCGAGGAGCCAGGGCTGGTCCCGGCGGAGCCCGACCCGGCCTGGCGGCTCCCAGACATCGTGACTCCCCCACCTCCGGCCGGGCGCTCGGAGAGGGACCGCGACCGCGACCCGCCGCCGCCTCCCTCCCCTCAGCCTCAGTGCATCCTGAGGCCGCGCGCCGCGCCGGGAGGTGGGGCTGAGGAACAATAAAGTTGATTTTTTTAAGGCGAGCCCACAGCAGCGTCCGACGGGAGGGGGCGGAGGAAACTAAGAAAGCGGAGGGGAAACCACTACCGCTGCCGAGGCCGCCACCGCCGCGGGCCCCGCCGCAGCCAACCGGGGCGCGCGGAGGGCCGGCCGTGCGCGCACGCGAGCGGCGGAAGGGGCGGGAGCGGCGGCGGAGACAACTTCGCGGGCCGCCGGGACGCGCACAGCGCGCCCCCGGTGGCGGCCTAGTAACGTTGGCCGCGCTCGTCCACAGCTGTTGTTGCTCGTGACGTACGGGGCGGGGCAGGTTGTGCTACGGGTGAAAAGGCTACAAAGAGGGGAATGAATGATAGGGTGGCGCAATGGTTTGGGAGCTGGGGCAAAGAGCGGAGTGCCGGCGAGAGGACTGCGCACGCGCTCTGGGCTTCGACCCTCGCGGCTGCCCCGGGTCTCCGGTCCACGCTCGGAGCGTCGCGGGCGCGGAGTCACCGCACCGCGCCGGCGTGGGGGCGAGCCGCATTCCTGAACGTGGAGAGGGAGCGGTCGCTGTCGCTGTCGCTTATCGCCGAGAGTCTGGTGGTGTGACCTACTGGCAGGTGCTTCCGAGCTGCGGTTTGAAGGCTTTGCAGACCAGGACGGGAGGAAAAAACCCAGGACCTCAGAGCTGTTGAAAAGAGCACTGGACTGAGAGTCAAAAAGTCTGGGCTCTGCTGTTAAACCATTCCACAGTATTGTGAGGACTAAATTAAAATGAAGTCGGTGAACAGTGCTTTGTAGATTCCGAACATTGTAGCAAATGTTACCAATTTGATTGGTTCGACCATGCTGTTTTGTATCTTGAAAAATTATTTACCAAATTAAGCATAACAATAATGGGGAAACAAATTATATTTAATCTGAACACAGCTCAGTCAGAACCTCGATTTAATGTGGATCTGATACATTTCTAGCACAAAACAAGGAAACCTGGCCGTTAATACCCCCCCAAAAATGTGCAATTTCTGGTAGTTTTTTGGAATATCAAAAATTGAATACAGATTTTCATTTTCCATTTTAAGGATCCTCAAGATTCCGGGGGATACAAATTAGAAACAACAGGGTAATTTTCGGTGCCCCTTCCAGCTCTGTCATCCTGTGGTTCCTAGAGGGAAAGATCCCAGATTTAATTCTGTCCTGTGAATTGAAGACCTTTCCCTAGGAACCTTTATCCATGCTGAAGGGACAGAACCAGGGAAGGGCCTAGATGAAGGCCCAGCAAAAAGACCTAGCCTTTCCTCTGAGCAGTGTTCCATCAAAAAGCTGTCATCCTCAACTTTGACTTTACCGCTTACCTTACTATTACCAGCTCACGTTTCTGATCAGAATATGATATAGGAATGAGCTTATCAGATCTCCAAGAATCACCCTCCTTGTGTGAACATTGCATTACCTAAACACTTAATTTCACTTTCAAGATCCATCTGAAATATGAAGCCTTAAGGACACCTCAGCAGAAATATTTACACTTCACTTGGTGCTAGGGTATTTTTTTTCTTTTTTGCACTTATAACATTGTTATTTTCCTGGTTTATGTGTGATTCTCCTCTGCTAGCTTATTAGCTTCAGCTTTGTATTCCCAACATATAATATACCTATGATAGGTGCTTATTAAATATTTCTTGACTAACGAATAAAGCAATTGGTCTCATTTTTAGTTTAATTATTTGCTTATGGTCCATTTTTCCAACTAAATTGTAAGCTCTATCAAAGACAGGACCATATTGGTTCTCATTGGGGAGTCAATAATTTCTTGATGAAGGAATGCATTAATAAGTAAGTGTAAAGAATCTGATGAATATTTATCAAGTACTTAGTATACATAGACCTACACTGGGCAAGAAAGAGATAAAGAAGTTTATAAAACATTGTTTCTGCACTCAAGAAGCTTAAGGAATAATTGAAGAACTAGAAAAATGAATACAAAGATAAGTAACACTACCAAAGAACACATACTACGTGCTTAATGAGTAAAGCAGAGAAACACCATAGGAGCAGAAACAAGAGCACTTGCTAAAGGCCAGCCGTGTGTGGCATTGGAGGAATGTTTACATCAAATTCAGATACCTGTTTTATAGGGGGGAAAGCTTATTCAGCAAAAATTCATCTGGGGACCAGACTGTGAAAGCCTTGAATCCACTTCTGGAAATAACCTACAGGCAATTGGAAACAATGAAAGCATTGCAAGGGGGTAAAATATATTCAAAGTGTTGTTTTTAAGATTAAGTTTTCACCAGATTAATCTTTCAGAAGAGGTTGGAGATTAGGACCAAAGAAACTAATTAGGAAAAAATGATGGCAGTCCAAACATAGGTGAGGAGATTCTAGATTAGTGTGATGACAAAGAAAGGGAGTATTCTGAGAAAAATACTAAAGAATCTATAGAATTAAGTTACTCTTTATAGAAGAATCTTCACCATCCCTGAGGGCATGACCCATGATCTGTCTTGTTCATTATTCTTTTCCCCAGTACTTGGCACAAAGGCCATTAAGTCGATTAAGTAAAAAATGATGGAATACAGGGGCACCTGGCTGGAGGAGAGAGTGAGAGTGTGACTCTTGTTTTCGGGGTCATGAGCTCCAGCCCCATGTTGGGTATAGAGATTACTTAAATAAAACTATTTGTTAAATGATGGACTACAAAGAAGAATGACTGTAAAGATGAGTCCAGGGATTTCAGCATGATGACAGAATTGGAGAAGGCCAGTGGCCAGTGGATGTTTTAGTTTTGGACGTGTTCAGTAAGTGGATGAAAATATATTCAAGGGGGCACTGCAGTGACTCAGTGGGTGGAGCATCTGCTTCCGCTCAGGTCATGATCCCAGGGTCCCAGGGATGGAGCCCTGCACTGGGTTCCCTGCTCAGGGGGAGCCTGCTTTTCCCTTCTCCATGGCCCCCAACTAGTGCTCTCTCTCTCTCTCTTTCTCTCTAATAAATAAATAAGATCTTTAAAAATACATGTGTGTGTGACTATATATACATATATATATATATATATTCAAATAAACAAATCCAGGCAGTGACCAAAAATTCAGGTTAAGACACAGGAGAAAGTTCAACACATGAAAAATAAAACTGCAGGTTCCTGAGATTCTGACTCTAAGTCTGGGGTGGACCTATGAATATGTATTTTTTTTTTTTTAAGATTTTATTTGTTTATTCGATACAGGTAGAGATCACAAGTAGACAGAGAAGCAGGCAGAGAGAGAGGGGGAAGCAGGCTCCCTGCTGAGCAGAGAGCCTAATGCAGGGCTCTATGCGGGGCTCGATCCCATGACCCCGAGATCATGACCTGAGCTGAAGGCAGAGGCTCAACCCATTGAGCCACCCAGGCGCCCCTGAATATGTATTCTTTTTTTTTTTTTTTTTTTTTTTTTTTTAGAGAGAGAGAGGGAGAGAGAGCAAGCACAGGCAGACAGAATGGCAGGCAGAGGCAGAGGGAGAAGCAGGCTCCCTGACGAGCAAGGAGCCCGATGTGGGACTCGATCCCAGGACGCTGGGATCATGACCTGAGCCGAAGGCAGCTGCTTAACCAACTGAGCCACCCAGGCGTCCCATGAATATGTATTCTTAACAGCACCCAAGTGAACCTAACGCTTTGAGAAACACTGATCATTCTGTAGGGAATGCCCGAGAAATATGTAAAATGGTCTCTTTCTTCCAAGTAGCTTATTGAAGAGACTTCTTAGCTGAGAAGCCTCCTAGAAAAAAAAATCATCAGTGCCTAGTATTACCTCTTTGGGAACTAGGTTCAGTAAAATCTAAATTTAAGAAAGGAAATGGAGGGAATAGGAGATGTGATGCAATGGAATTTCCCTTTCATATCAGTTAAATCTATAAAGACTGTTCTCAAAGTACACAGTCCTTATTCTTTTCTACAGGCAAAATGTTCTGGAAAAGCAGAAGAGAAAAGAGGAAGCATGGCAAAACACACACACACACACACACACACACACACACACACACACACACACCAAGGAATTCAGACATCAGGAAAAGAAGCAAATAGAAGAAGACAAGAAAACATTATGAAAATGAAAGTAATGTAAAATAAAAACTAAGCCTTAATAATTGAAAGAACTCCATCACATTGTTAATTAACCCTATAAATGACAAAAATGACAAGACAAAATCCAAGTCTTTTATGAAAATGCTGTTACCGAAGTAAAATACAAAGGAGTTAAGATGGAATGGAATTACCAAAAAGATTAAACTTCGAGACCTATTTCCAAAGGGGCTAATCCAGGGGTGCCTGGCTGGCTGAGTCAGAAGAACATATGACTCTTGATCTTGGGGTTGTGAGTTTGAGCCCCACGTTGGGTGTAGAGACTACTTAAAAACAAAATCAATCAAAAATAAATAAATAAATAAATAATATCGATCAATCAATCAGTACAAAGTAACTTATCCAAGTATAATCTGTTAGGGCAGTAAGACTGCTGGTTTCTACCTCCAGCTAGTCCTGCCCTTTGCTAACCAATCTCTCAAAAAGATCCTTTCTAAAAAGCTTTATCTGCCTGATTCACCAGAAGAGTTTGCCGCCTGTTTGCCCTGTTTGCTGTCCAAGCAAATCTCTTAGTGAATAATAGTTTCCTGTTAAGTTTTTTCTTTTTAATTTAATGGGATTACCTGTTCTAAAAAAAGAGAAGAGAGAGATGTGAAGTAAACATGGTATTAAAAAGCTGAACTAACAGAGGAAAGGAGAAAATATATTTTTTTGTTAGTGTTAATGGACAGGAGAAAAATAGAAAGGTTTCTATAATGCAATAGCATAATAATACATCTAGAAGAAAATAATCCATCATCTGCTGGTAAAATGAAAAGCTCCAATTTATAAATTAAAACCAGAGATAGGGGCGCCAGGGTGGCTCAGTGGGTTGAGGCCTCTGCCTTCGGCT